TGGTTTCACCTCCCCCCACCCCACCCCATCATCACCGCCTCCAGAGAGCAGGGCGGGGGGCTGCGAGGGCTGGCCTAGCCTTCCTGTTCCATCCGCTCCATTGCCGCCACCTCCACCCCGTTCCTCTGCTCTCTTGCCTCCCCTCCATCCTGTGTCCCCACCATCATAGTGGCACTTTGCCATGCCACCACCTCCTGCCCTAATGCTGTATTCGCACTCTGACCGGTTGTTTCAGTCAGCCAATCAGAGTGCAAATAAAGCGTTATGGACAGACAGACAGAGGCTTTTATAATATTAGAATTCACTAGTATGTCTTTCATACCTGGAACAAGTACAGGAACATGTTGCGTCAGGGCTCCAGGTAACACATTTACCAGCTCAGTTAGCATGTTAAAGCAACACTGACGAGTCTTTACACTTTTCTCCTTCATCTGTTTGTGTAAGGCTTTAACTATATTGGGAACCTGAAATTATTACATGCCTGTTAATTAGTTTAGCAGTTATCACTTCCTTTGCACAATTACCCTAGATCATGGGGGGAAAACTCATCTCCCTTCACTTTGATTCTTTAAATAAGCTTTATTCCCATTTAAACTGACACTGAAGATAAAGTTTCATATGTTCAAATCAACCCATATAATGAGAAATTTTAGGAAGATTTAAAATTAATCTTACTTAGCTAAATATCAGGTTTGTTCTTTTAAAGAATCTCTACAAATAAGTATTAACTGTACCACTGTACTAAAACAGTTCAGAGAAAGTGTATTTTGTCTGCACTACCACACCTCTATTGTTTCAGAAAAGTGTTCCAAAAATCTCTGCCTTCTTCATAAACATCATGTCACTTCACTTTCATTGTATGATTTCTTTTCATATTTTGAATTTAGTTGAACAGTTATAATAGCAGATAAAACAGGCAGAATTCGGTGCTTCGACTCCATAGCATTCTTAGAGAGGACAGTGAAATCTTCAAATCAGGTAAGTGCTTCCGAGTCCAACAGGTAATTCCAGTTCCCAAATCAATAGCAGCTTTAGGGGCCAACTTATCCTACACCATTTTATATGTGCTGGCATAGGGGCTCTGACTATACAACTCCAAACTCCATGGTATCAGAGAGTAAAGAACAAATCATTTTGGGTCATCAAAGAAACAAAAATTATGGCAGCTAACCTGACTCTGAAGCATTGTCAAAGGTGTCTCTCCTTGTTCCATTGCATCAGGATCACAAAGCCAACTCTGCACAGGTCGAGTTTGTTTTAAAAGAGAAAGATATGCATGGAAAACATCTGCTTTTACATTCTCCTCACGCTCTTTGAATCTTGCTATCAAAGCAGGAGACACTGTCTTGTAGAATTCTGGAAGCATTTCATGCCTTGTGCTAACCACTGCATCCAAGCATTTAGCAGCTGCACGCCTCACTTTCCAGCTCATATCATCATCATCACTATATTCATCATCACTCCCTTGAAAAAATAAAATAAATTAATCACATGGAAATTCTAAACTAAACAATTCAAGCCAAGTTTTGTACAGAATGGTATTTTACCCATTTCATGCATAAAATGTATGGGAAGTCTTTACACTTGATAAGACATACCAAAGATATTAGTTTAAGGGATGTTTAAGAATCACTTGGTCTATAACCAAAGATAAAGAAAAGGTCATTCAAGCTGCCTCAAATCTAAATTTTAATTACTTCTTTTGCTAGTTTCCTCAGACAGGTCTTTCACATCTGGCCCCTCATTAACTTCTGTTGTGAGAAGGGGCTGGGTTTCTTCCATTACATCTAGGACATCACTGAACTTTTGAAGTATAACAAGGCAAAAATTAACAGCAGACCAAAGTTCTGAAAGCTAGTCTGTTCATGATGTTTTACTTTTATTACGAGTACCATACCGGCAGAAGATCTGGCTGCAATATTGAAGAGATCTCTAGTTTTAATATACAGTTGATTTTATCTACTGTGACACTCCGGAATTATAGTCAAATGCCATTTCACAGACACGGGTTCAATATGCAAACAGTGATCACTGAAAGCCAAAGCTCATCAGTGTTTAGGTACCAATACCCAAAACGCCCAAGGCAGAATTGATCTACGTTACACAGTTTTCTGTAAGCTGTGTAGTTTAGATTGGAAGCAAACAGAACACACATTCAACCTTTGATGGGTGAGGGAGGGGAGGGAAGGGGGCAAAGCTTAAGACAAGCATCTGTCATTTTTAAGCCAGTCTGTGTGCGCTGAATTTCTGTTCTGTTATGGGTACAGACCGGTTTCCAATCAGTTATGCTAGTGAAAGTGTAATGTCTGTATCTGACCTTGATTTAGTTGAGGTTCACAAGTTTTTCTTCCCAAAGCCAAAAAATATATACCTTGATCATCATCATCACCACCATCTGCATCCATAGCATTTTCATCTTCATCTTCATCATCATAATTGTAATTGGGATCATAAGTAAGGTATTTAAGACAAATGTTTATAATGGTAGACACATGAGGATAAACTTCTTTAGGACATCTGCATGATAAACACACACACACACACAAAAAACCTCATCTCCAAGAATTAAATAACAAACAGAAGGCATTTAACACTGGGTACTTTGTTATGGGGTCCATTAGCAAAACTGAAATAGTCAAAACTTCATTGTAGATGTTTTTCCAGAATTCAACTCGCTCAGCTATAAAAATGCAATCCAATCTGAAATTGGCACACAACACCTCAGGCCACAAAGAAGACAAACAGAGATAGGATAAGCTTGCAGAACGAGAAAGAGAACATGGAGTTCTATAAGCAGAACAGAAAGCAAAATACAAATATAGTTCACTAGTAACTTGGCAGTGATACAGTCTTGTTCTCCATAATTTAGATACCCAAAATGCTATCATAATAATTGCTATCATCATTAAGCAGTGGTAAAGGAAGCAAGCAAATCTCATTCTTTCAGAAAAAGCACTATGGACAGGCAGCAAAGAAAGCATGCTTTACACTGTCTAGGTTTCAAAGATTAAAAAAAAGATAATTCAGGGCCCCTCAAACTACCCAATGTGATCTCCTGTTTAAACACGCTGTAGAATCTCACGATCTATTTGTGAAACTAAGTTCTTTCAGTTTCCACTAATGAGGATCAAGCATTATCCACGAGCACTGTATTGATTAAAATATGAAGTAATATGTTTATTACTTTGTCCCTGAGGCATGAATAGCATTAAAATGCCATACTTTTGTGTAAGTCAAGAAATATTATGGTCGTTATCAGTTAAATAATAAAACACTAATAAAATATGATAAGCTATATTATATTTCAAAACTAAATAAGCAAAGATCGCTGATAACAAACATCTCCATTAGTAAAGGAACCATGTGGTATGTGGTTTATTACAATGCTTTTTAACTGCTCACGAACTGGCAGTAAAACTACCACTGTAATCAAACAGTACACATTTGGTAAGAAAATCCAAACTTAAGAGTACTTGAAAAAAACAACTTACCGCCTCACAAAGGATTCAAAGGCTTGAATGCAGTACTCTCTTAGTTCATCATCATCCACATTACAAAATTTTACCACCAAAGGGATTATTTTCTCAAGATATTCACCTGATAAAGAAAGTTGGAATAATAATTAGTCACATCTAAAAATACTCAGAGTTACCAAAAAAAAAATATATGCATTCTCTTACCTATTCTGTGACCAGCTTGCCTACTGATAGCAGCAATACATTGTATATAGGTCCTAGTTGTTGACATGGAATCATTTTTAGACAGCTCTGTCAAGAGGTGTTCAATGAGGTCAACAAAAACTATATTGCCACAACTCATAACCAGATGACCAAGAGCAATGATGGTTCTTTTCCTCACAGCAAGTCTGGGGCTAGTCAGCTGGGGGAGCAGACAGGTCAGAATTGAAGGATGGAAGTTAACAAGCAGTCCTCCTTGCCTTTAAACAGACAAAACACAAACTCAAACCAATTGAACATAGAAAAAATGTTGTTCTTATATTGTACCACAATTATTCCCAAAGTACCATACAAATAGTCAAATTAAGATCCTAATACTGTATTTAGAATTATTTAGGAGAAAAAGTTACTGCTTTCAGACACACTTTAATCTTATTAATAAAACTTTAAGAGACCTTCAGCAATGTCAAGATAGAGCAATCAATTACTCCAACAGTCATTAAGCTGAAATGCATTCTAATCTTAACACATTTGTTCTTCTACAAAGTTTCATTTTTATTCATTTCCCTTAATATGGATCAAGTTATACAACTATTTCACATCTTTATAAAGCTTAAAGTATAACCATGTTAAGGTTATTCAGTAGAAAACAAAGTTTTGGGGGCGGTTTTGTGGGGGGGAAGGGTGTGCAGAATTTATTCACTTAAAGTGCAGCATTGTGTGGAATAGATGTTTACCTGCTCAGCATGTCAGCCATTATGTCCAAGGCCTCTAGTTGAACAGACACATCTTCCTGCTTGGCTATAGCACTAGTAAGACGCCCTGTGATCTTTTTACAAACATTGGCTGCTAAGGCAGATCCTGAAAAAACAAAACCATGACATTTTCCTAGTGAAAACATACAAGTCTAATACCAAATTTAATATGTGAAGGTATGACAAGTCATTTGGACACGCCATTAGGAGCACATTTCTCACAGAACAACCACTTCCTTTCTGACCTCCATATCCTCACACTCAAATGAAGTTTACCTAACACTTTAAAAAGGCAAACTTGGGAACAAAAAATTATCAGTTGGCTTATACTAAGAACCAAGGACTAAACACAGATGTTGGTTTTATGGCACACTATATTTTACCCAACTCCTGAATTCTTTCCAAACACAAAAAAATGGGATTGACCCTCCTCAGTGTCTCGATCTCCCAATAATCAGCTTTTCTTCTGCTAATTGGGGCTGCGCCCAGATGTGTGTGGATGTTTGGTTCCCTGAGGGCAACTAGCAGTGGTGCACCTTGTACAGCCACTAGTTGCCCCCAGGGAATGCCTGTGCAATGCATACTCTAGCATGCGGCAAGTTACCCTGGGTGGGGCACGGGAGGCTGAGGCCAGCACTGGGGTGGCCCCAGCAGCCTTACCAGAGTCTTGGGGGCCTCCCAGGGCTGCAGCAGCAGCAATCCTACCACGCGGAACCTGGCTGGCAGTGAACTGCATCTCCAGACGGTCAGGCTCTGGCATTGGGCAGTGCATGCTGTTGCCGTGTGTGCCACTCTGCTTTTTTTTCTCTCCCCCCACAGGTTTTTTTTGACCCCTGAATATCCAAGGGTCAAAAAAGCCCTCTGCTCTGCTCCCATGCAATGTGGAGAACAACTGAATGTGTGGTATGTAGCACCACAGACAACTATGGCGCCATGTACCGCACAGCCTCTTCATCTGGATGCAGCCTGTGTGTCTGCTACCCTTGGGAATCTCTCTCAGCCCCTCCAAACTACTGTTTATACTATGCTGTGAATGGCTCATTGTGGTCTGCCCTGCATTTGAAAGTTGTCTAACTCTATCCCAAATACATACTTAATCTAATAAAAAATATCAGCTTAAGAAATTCTTGCTTCTCTCAAGTCATTTGGAGAACCTTTAGCTATTAATGATTGTCCAAAATAAATCTGAATTCACTGCTGTGCATTAATGCTGAAGGCTGCCCTACCTAGAAACAGATACTGAACAAGACAACATTCACCATTCTTGCATATGAAATGTACATAAAAAGGAACAAAGTTTCTGCTACAGGAAGCAGTGAAACTAACAAGGCCTTTTTTATATGCAGACCTTAAAAGGACTGCAGGCATAACCTTGACAATGATTTTCTAAATTAACAGATAACCATTAGTCTAACTCTCCAAAAAGAGAGTTCTGGATTCTCCAAGTTTGTAGTGAGTTGTATTCTCATCAATGTCTATGCCATTCAAATTTACATACTGAATTCTCTATATAATCAGATCATCAAACAACACGGTTAAATCTAGAAGTGAAGTGTCTTATTATCCACTAACAGGAGACCTCCTTAATTTAACAGCTATAGATCAGTTGCCTAGTATATTGCAATTTTAGCTTGAAATACTAGAAACTTCAAAACACATACTGAATAAACATGGACAAAAATATCTAAATTCCATAAATATCACTTTAAAAAGTCCCTAGGAATACTGTAGCAAGTATTACATACACACACACACACAATGTTCATTTACCCACATATGTCATTCCATTAGTCCCTGTGCCTAAACAGCTTGCTTAGAGTCTTATACAAACAAAACAATTAATTGGAAAACCAGTATAAAAACCATAAAAGTTAGCAAGGGTCTTCCCAGCAGATATAAACTACAATTATTTTCATGACCTTTTTAAAACTGACTTGATAGCAAGTCTATGTCTATTTCAGTATGAAAGAGGTAACAGTATTTATACCAGGGGTGGGCAATTATTTCGGCTGGAGGGCCACTTAAGGTCTGGGGACCTGTTGAGGGCTACACACACAAAAACTTTTAGAAGACATCATTTTAACAAATTATAGATTTAAAAAAATCATATACTAAAAACCAAACATCTACTATAACATTTTAATTTCAAAAAAACTTTTTCCTGTTTTTTTTCCCCCTAGTAGTGTATATAGAGGCACCTGCATAATAGCTCAAAATAAAGTTTCTCTCTAGTATGTTGTGTTGGGGAGAGGCTGGAGGAGCATGTGTGTGGGGGGGGTAAGGGTGCACGCAGGTGTGTGGGGAGCTGCCCATACCCTTGCTGCCAGGAGCTGGCCGGAGGTAGGGGGAAGAATGAAGAGAGGAGTGGCAGGGGGTACGTGTAGCAAAGTTCACCCAGGCGAAGCGGAGGTGGTCCACACCGCACTGGCATCCAGCCCATGGCTGCCCTTGCGGCACTCTGTACAAGGTTGTTGTGCCTGCTCCCGCCAGGGCAGCCTGCATACTGCTGGGGTCCCCCTGCCTCCAGTGGCTCCTCCTCCTCCTGCCCCTGCTACAGCATTCCAGGTCAGGGGGGAGAGGGAAGCTGCAGCCAAATGGCTCCTGCCCCAGTGCATAGGGCTCTAGCTCCTCGCTACCTTCCATGCACTCAGTGATGACCTGCAGGTAGAATGAATGGAAAGCTGCTGGGAGCTGGAGCCCGACATGCTGGGACAGCAGCCACCTGGCTGAAGCCTCCCCACCCCTAAACTGGAACAGAGCAACAGGAGCAGGAGGAAGAGAAGGACAAGCCGTTGGAGGCAGGGAAAACTGAGCAGTACCTAGGCAGCTACACTGGGAGCAGCCCTGCTGGGAAGCTGTGCGCACTGGCCAGGGCCAGGATTGTCCAGTGGATGCAGGCAGAAGTGTGGCATGGACTGCCTCAAGTGGGAGCAGGCAGGGCTCAGCCCCACGCAGAGTGCTGTGGGCCAGATCCAATTAAGTGGTGGACACCCACCCATGGGCTGGATGCAATCAGTTGGCAGGCTGGATCTGGCCCATGAACTGTATTTTGCCCACTCTTGATTATAATAAAAGAACCACAAAAGACGCACACAAAATTAATTTTCATCTGATGACAATGAATTTCAACGTCAATGCTAGCAGATGTACATCTGAACCTACTTCACTTTCAATAAAATAAAATAAAATAATGAACTGAATGCAGAGAAGAAATTAAGTCAGCATACCTTATTCTTTAAGTCGGGGGTTGACTACATTGTCCAGCAGTGGGCTGGTGCTTGGGCTGTAGTGTGGCACAAGCAAAACACTTGGCCACCCAGTCATGGCACAGAGCAACACAGGCGAAGCCCCACCCCCAAACCAAACACCCAGAAAGCCTCTGCTCTGCAGACCAGATGTTTACCTTCACATATGGAAATGTGCATCCAATAGAAGGGGGAAAAGTTGCTACTAGGGAGAAGCTGTGGAAAGTGGGGCCAGTGTCATTAGCACAGATCCAGCTCACAGGCCACACACTGCCACTCCTGCTTTATGTAAACAGCAGGAAGGGAAAAGGGCATAATTTCTTACCACTGGAAGCTGGTGGAAGTTCTCCGATGACCGTCTTGAGGCCAATGCTTGAAATATCACGCAGCTGCTCTTTATCTGAAAGCATGTTAGTGCAGAGCGTATCTACAATGGTCTCCACCTGATATTCCTTTACCTTACTGACCAACGGGCCAAGACTGTAACAAAAAACAAAGCCACGCAAAGAGCAATTAAATCTGCAGTTTTAAACAGAAGAGACAACCACCTACATATACAACCATCACATTAAGAGTTCTTCATTTAAAAGTATTCTTCATTTAGTTAGATAGTGATTGTCCTAAATTAAGATAATTGTTATTATTTGTGCTTTTTATTGAATAGTATTCTTGAAGTGGCAAACCAAGTTTCCATTAACTATGACTTTTCCCCTGTAAATACCCAGACACCATGCTTTTAAAAAAAAAAAATCTGCTTTCATATCATGAGTTTAAAGCCCTTCAGATCCAACACACTTTGTACCAATGTTGGTACTTCATGCTTTCAGAACTGAGAGTAACACCTCCACCTTTTTAACTTAAAAAAAAAAATTTAAAACAAAAACTACCACATCCACTGAAGGAGTTCCCTGCAGTTCAGTGGTAGAATCCTTGTCTGCCACACAGGAGAGACAGGTTCAATTCCTGGACACTTATACAAAATACAGCCATGGAGGCACCAAATGACTGGTCCTATTCTAGCTTTTGGATTCTGTTTCAGTGGCCTAAAGGGGAGATAGAAGATCTGGGTAGCCTTCACTTAGGCTTATACATCGAAGGTCTGAGTGATTTCTCATGCATACATCATGATCTGGAAGGATCAACAGTTGCCAAACCACATCCACTGTACACAAGTATGTGCACTACGCTATAAGTGCATACTTGAGCCACAAACTAAAGTATGCAAAAAATGTTAAAGGGTGAACTAACTGATTAAGGCACCTTTACTTTAGACTTGATTAGTGCTCAATCTGACATGCAACTAGATAAAAATTATTTCTAGTATTATGCTGTGTGAAACTAGGTGTCCAAGCTCTTGTAGACTCCAACCATTCACCCTAGTGTGAATACCTCTCTCTTCTCAGTGTTTTGCTGAAATTGGTTCCTTAACCATCCCACTATCCATTTTGATGATCAGGTCAGTCTTGTATACCCTTTGACTCACATACTTCCATTTGTACAACAATGCTGTGGTTCTAAGTTGGCACATCACTGAGCAACAAGTAGCATGACTGCTGGAAAACCTACAATGCAGTACCTACACATGGTGTTTACCTATAAGTGGTAAATAGTAGAGCATGCTTTAAGCTTTTTTCAGTCCTCCACATCACTGACTCTTTCACTCTCTCCCCACAGTTACTATGATTCTTTATCAAAACTGGCAAACAACAAACAACAATAAAAAACCCAGCAACACCTTTTCCCAAGCTACTGTTACCTATATGCACTGAAATGTTTATCCAGGAGAAGAGTTGCTAACTTTATTCTTCTGATTCCAGACAAACACAGCTGAAGAATAAATTGGATTTTACTGGCTCATACATCAAAAGATATAAGCACATTTCAACTACATGGCCAAATTCTATCACAATTACATACATTTTTTAGAATCTGGCCTATCATTATTGGCAATAATGCATGAGCAAGTAATTACAACTTGACTTTCATATCCCAAATTTAGTTTGCGGGGCTGTTTCTGTTGCTGGAATGGTGAGACCACTGTTTATCACACTGGCCAAGTCTCATTGTCTTCTTGTACTGTCCTACCCAGCCACCTGTTGGCTCCTCATCTTATACCTAGGAGTCTACCAAACTCAAGGAGAGAGCTTGCCAATTTCATGGGCATATCCCAGGGCCCACTGCCATTTTTGCAGACTGAGCACGGCAGGACTCCCCCACACCTGTGATTGGCTGAGCAGCCCCAGCAGTCCCACTATTCCCCCCCAGATTACCACATGGTTCAGTACTGCATCTTAATTACCCTTTTTAAACCTGGGGAAGCCATTAATCCATGTGTTAAGCATGGATTAATGGTTTCCCTGGGCTTAATCAGGATAATTAAGCCACAGTTTCTGGCCATCCCCAAGCACCAGACTCTATGATTCTGGTGGGCTCTCTGCAAAAACACACCAAAAAACCCCACAACCTTATCAGCAAGCAGAGAAAAGAGTAAGAAGCCCTGGTGTCTTGGAGCATGGGGAGGAAGGCAGAGGGGAGAGGGCAGGGAGGAAGGGGGATATGCCCCCTGCTGCAAACAGTTCCCTCCCTTCTCCCATGCCATGCTCCAAGACTGCAGGACCCTTCACCCTTTTCTTTGCCTGCCAGTAAGGCTTTCCTTTTTTTTTTTTTTTTT